ATGAAAATAAAGGGCCAATCACTAAAAAAAGGTGTGAAATAATACATTTCTATTGTATTTGATTCGTTTTGTTGACGGCAGCTTCACATCATCAAAAAACCTTCCGTGAATGTTCAATAATCACACCCAGATCCTTTTCCTTCTCTACATCACCAGATGTTAAATTAACTGCCCTTTTGGATAACAAAATAATATGTGCTGTCCTTCAACCTTCAAACGTACCTCCAGTATTTATGGAATGCCTACAAATATTTTCACCAAAGCTTCATCTATTTCTTTACTTGCAGGAGATTGACAAACAGTGTCCTTCCTTAAATTTTTATTTCAACAAAACACGTAAACAAACATACAAATCACTAACATTCAAATTGTTCCAAACTTGAAGTCTTTTTACCTACTTCTGTCTTCCTAGTTTATGCCTTTCCTAATTTGTTCTAATGTGAGTGATTATATCTTCGCCCACAAAATACATTCGGTCACTCAACTTTACAGTATATCATATACTTTGAGACGTCGCAACAGGTGATAAGGCACAAAATCAAATGCAAGGATTATTATTATATTAAATCTTTACATGGAGTTTGTCAGACACAACTGATGAAATAGATGTATTGTACACGAATAAGTCAGCATCTTCCTTGTCATAACATTGCATTTAGCACAGCAGATTATACAGTGGTAGTTTATCAACCGAAGGAAGATGAGTTTTTGCTTTCTGTTTTAGCAGCATACGTTCTGTTCTGCATTGTATCTAGTCAACAGTTTACAAAGAGTCTGCCTCTTGCAGACTTTAGGGTAAAGTATGCAGAACACAAGAAGCCAGAAATCTGGAAAAATGTCTTGTCTTTAAGAGATAATGTTTTGAACCTTAACTGACAGACATACTGATATCACACAGTAGTCCGAAATATTCCTGGAGAAGTTTGAGGATGCAGGATTGGAATATGCATTCTTAATGGTCCTGAAAAGAAAGAGTTTCATTCCTTGACATTATACCAACCAAACCAAAATTCAATGGAATGTTGATTTTTGTTGCTGCCTTTTAAATCTATCTTTAAATCCCACGTGAAGACCTACCTCCTTGTGGAGGCGGGCGTGGGGGAGAAGGTGACCATCACAGCGCATATGGTAACCTACTCCTTCCCCTCCCCCTTTCTCGCTGCCCAATGCTACCACTGTACAGTGCTCCGAGACCCTATCGTGCGTAAAGGCCACTATATAAATTCAAGTTGCTGTTATTGTTGTTGCCCAACACTGAGGGTTGTTCTTCCTGCCACTTTAGATTGCTAATGTGGGCTGCCTTCCTCGCCAAGTGAATTAGTCAAAAATGAAGACTGAAGTTGTTTCATCAGCTCCAGCAGAACTTTATAATTGCAGAGACCTTGGGACCGTTTCTGAAACAGGCATGTACAGCAATATATACAGCCACTAATTCACTAAATTTGCTAAAATCAGTGCTGTACTTTTAAAAGCTTTGCTGACTGTGACTTATACTGTTATTTTTTTCTGATTAATTTGCTCTAGTTAAATTTAAAAAAATGATGATTCACTTGACGGCAATTGCTGTGCTCAAATTGCCTGCCAGGTTCGCCTACTACGCAGAACTAAGAACAAGGCTCTTTGAGATGTGCTCCCGATGTGACAGGCAGTATATCAAATACAAGTTTGCTTTTAAGTTTACCAACAATCCTTCTAAAACACAGAACACACTTGGCTGGTCATGTGTCAGAGAAAAATAGATAAGGAGCCAAGAAAGAACAGAATTGACCCTATAAATTGACTCTCTTCCTTTGTGGCTGCGTGAAATGTTGAAATATCTTGCGAATGCTGAAGTAGATTGAGATCCTACTCTGCTAAGCAAATGCCAAAAGCATAAAATCCCAACCTGAAACTAGTCACGTCATGAAAATGCGGCTTTGCAGTGCTCCCAGTTTCTAAACTGGGCTTTGCTTAGGCAGCTGAAATTTCTAAATACAGTACATCCCTAGTCTCTACCTTATCCCTACACTTTTCTCTAAACGGTGAGTGAAACCTTAGGCAAGTTTCCTTACTCCACACCCCTCTGTTTATATAGCAGTAAGTAGGAACTGGATTGTTAGTCGCATGGTGGATCGTTTTTCGGGGTAATAAACGCTTAAAAAAATCAAAAATAATAATTTGGTCACTCAATCCACGACTGTTTGTGGGACACTACTGTGAGGAATTGGCTGCCCACAAAATATACAGTCAATTCACTTTACAGTATATTGTGGTGTCTCGAAAACATGATAAGGCGTTATATCAAATGCAAGTATGATTATTATTATACTTTTCCTTAATGGTACAAGAATTTTATTTTTTTTTAGTTGGAGGTAGTGTGGCTTATAGTAGAATTTGCTAAGCAAATGCCAGAACAGCACAAGATCCTGTTGCTTGCGAGATGGCTGTTACATCAAAGTGTCTGGCACTTTTTGAAGGCCTCAGCTACAAGGCTGTAATTAGTCACTTCACAAGCAGCATTCAAAATATTTTGAAGTGAGAGGAGAGGTGCGGCTCACAATTTCAAACCCTCTCAGCTAGTCGTGCGTTAAGCATAAAATGTTTCAAGTCTGAGATTGTGCGGACAAAATTTTTTTGGGAAAGTAACTTAATACTGCAAAATTCCGTTCTGACGAAGGGTCGTGGACCCAAAACGTTGACTCACTTTCCTTTCTCCATATTTTGCCTGACCTGCTGAGTGTTCCCAACCACCTCTGTTTTTGTTATATAATATTTTGTTTTCTAAACACCTGTATATTTGTGTTTTTTTTTGTTAAGAAGTGCAGTGTCAACGTTACCACCTCAGTACTTCTGTACTGTCAAAAGATTGACAGTGGGCCGGTGGTGGTGGGGGGGGGGGGTTCATGACTGCTTAAAACTGAAACAATGTTTTGAAGTTAACAGTTATTACACAATTTTCACTAAACTAACACTAAACTTACTGTTTTGCAAAAACAATCTATAAGTACAAAATGCTATTTGAAAAAAAACTTGCAATCTGCAGTAATTATATTTAAAAAATGCAGAGAACCTAAGGAAAAACATGAAAAAATTGCAATCGGCTGTAAGAAAACTGAGGTTAAAGCATGAGAGAATCTTGCAGAAACTTGCTTTTTCCTGATATGTCCAGTGAGCCTGTAAACCAAAATTGGCTACAGTAATGTTATCAGATGCATTGTTGCGATTTAATCAACTGTTAGATCGATATAGTAAATAGACACGGTTATATTCTCCCATGTGATAGTATAAAGATATAGCTGCTTGTCAAATCATGTAATGTATTTGCAGGAGCCAGTCATCTGTTCCTGTCCGCCAAGACTCCGCATAAAATAACAAACTGTGGAGTATGTTCCAAAGCAGCGACACACCTGGGAGTTCAGATGACATTATTGCAATTCAGTGCAGTATTTGCTTTCCAGCAGCGACTTTCCTGTTTGCAACAAATACAAACCTAATAACATCAAGTTCTATTAACTTTAAGCGCTCCGGCACGCTATCCAGCGTGAAGGGCGTAATATAAATGCAAGTTGTTGTTGTAGCGACAACACAAGACATGGAGCAAAATGACATTGGATGAGCTTTCTTTTGGTTGCATATTGTGTTTGCGATCTACACAACTTGATAATAACGTAACATAATCCTTGCATTTGATATAGCGCCTTATCACGTTGTTGCGATGTCTCAAAGCGCTCCACAGAATATATTGTAAAGTAGGTGGACTGCACATTTTGGGGAGGAAACGTGCAGCCGATTGCACACAGCTTTGTCCTACAAACAGAATTTTTTTTTGGTGGGGGTGTGTTGGGGTGGCGGGGGGGGGGGTGGTTAGAGAGCGCTTATTACCCACGGAAAACAAACGCCTAACAACTTTTTGGGGAATTTGATAACTGAAACATTATTGACTTGCCGAAAATCGTACAAGCTTTAGCGCGTCCGATAAAGGAGAGGTGGTGCGGGTGGGAGGGAGGGAGGGAGTAATAATAATAATAATAATAATAATCCTTGCGTTTGATAGAGCGCTTTTCCCGTCTTCTCGACGTCCCGAAGCGCTTCGCGGAATGTGCTGTGAAGCGGATCGGCTGCGCGTTCGTGGGCGAACACGGGCGGCGTCCGGCGCGCAGTCGGGGATCGAAAATGACCAATTTATTATTGCGGTTTCTGCTTTGGTTTTGGGGATGTGGGGGGGGGGGGGGGGGGGGGGGGGGGGGGGGGGGGGGGGGGGGGAGGGGGGGGGGGGGGTGGGGGGGGGGGTGGGGTGTCACCAAAGTTTGGTGACACACCCCCCACCACCACTTTGCTTGATGACATTTCCCATTGGTTGGTACTGTACAGTAGTAGCGACCTCTTTAAGTGCAATGTAAATACAAACAGCCTGACGTCAGGGCGGCGGCAGCCACAGCAGAGCAGAGACTGGGACTCCATGTGAGTGAGTGAGTGACTGAGTGAGTGAGTGTAGTGGAATGGAGGGGAGTGCAGTGGAGTGAGTTGTCTGTGTGAGCACAGAGAGAGAGAGAGAGAGAGGAGAAGAGAGCAGCAGAGACCGTCTGCAATGGTCAGAAAGTTTCCCTGTTGGCCACACACTCTCCTCCTCCTCCTCCTCCTCCTCTTCTTCCTCCTCCTCCTCCTCTTCTTCTTCTTCACACACACACACCTTCTTCTTCCACGGATTTTGACGTCTCGTCACCGATTTGGGATTAAGTTCAAGGAGAGGACGCGTTAAAAAAAAAGAGAGAGAGAGAGAGAAGGGGGAGAGGAGAGAAGGAGAAGGGGGAACGAGAGAGAGAGAAAGAGAAAGAAAGAAAGAGAGAGAGAGAGAAGAGGAGAGGAGACGAGGAGCTGTCAGCAAAAGCAGCAAAGAGCGTGGATGGAATCGTGATTTAATCTGCACTTGACTTGGAGGAGGGGGTTGGGGGGAGACACAGGGGGGAAAATACCCCCCACCCACCCACTCCCTCAAACAGAAAATAGCACAAAAAAAGGGGAGGGGGGAAGGGGGGAGAAAAAAAAAGGGGGGGAGTGTGTGTTTGCATTCTTCGGGATCTTTGGAAGGTCTGAAATCCTGTTCATTTTCCTGCTGCGGGGTCTCGGTGCGGTTATCCGGTCAGCAGAGCGCTGTCAAACCGGCGATGAGTTTGGACCTGAAGGTTTGTGCAAATATTTTTATTTCCAGAATTATAGACGTGTAAGGCCGAGAACTAACAGTGGGGGTGTGGGGGGGGGGGGGGGGTTGGTGGTGGTGGTGGTGTGGGGGGGGGGGGTTGTGTGGAGTGGGAGGGTTGTTGGTGATAGTGTGGGGTGGGAGGGTTGGTGGTGGTGGTGTGGGGGTGTTGGTGGTGGTGTGTGGGGGGGGTTGTTGTTGGTGGTGGTGGTGTGTGGGGTGGGGGGGTTGGTGGTGGTGGTGTGGGGTGGTTGTTGGTGGTGGTGTGGGGGGGGGGTGGTGGTGGTGTGGGGGGGGGTGGTGGTGGTGTGGGGGGGGGTGGTGGTGGTGTGGGGTGGGGTGGTTGTTGGTGGTGGTGTGGGGGGGGGTGGTGGTGGTGTGGGGTGGGGTGGTTGTTGGTGGTGGTGTGGGGGGGGGGTGGTGGTGGTGGTGTGGGGTGGGAGGGTTGGTGGTGGTGTGTGTGTGTGGGGGGGGTTGGTGGTGGTGTGTGGGGTGGGGGGGGTGGTGTGTGTGTGTGGGGGGTTGGTGGTGGTGTGTGGGGTGGGGTGTTGGTGGTGGTGTGGGGGGGGGTGGTGGTGTGGGGTGGGGTGGTTGTTGGTGGTGGTGTGGGGGTGGGGTGGTTGTTGGTGGTGGTGTGGGGTGGTGGTGGTGTGTGGGTGGGGGGTTGGTGGTGGTGTGGGGTGGTTGTGGTGGTGGTGTGGGGGGGGGGGTGGTGGTGGTGTGGGTGGGGGGTTGGTGGTGGTGTGGGGGGGGGGGTGGTGGTGGTGTGGGGTGGGAGGGTTGGTGCTGGTGATGTGGGGGGGGGGGGTTGGTGGTGGTGGTGTGTGTGGGGGTGTTGGTGGTGGTGGTGTGGGGGGGTTGTTGTTGGTGGTGATGGGGGGGTGGTGGTGGTGGTGTGTGGGGGGGGTTGGTGTGCTATGTGTTGTAGTTGGAGTGCTTATTTTCCTGTCCCTCTCCCTCTCCCTCTCTCTGGTGCTAAGGTGGGCTTCTGGTTGTGAAGCACATCCTCCTCTTGGTCGCAAAGTCACCCCGTGTTGTGTGTGTGTGTGTGGTGTGTGTTGTCACCGAGGTGTTGCGTGGATTGACCTTTCCCTGGAGTTAAAGCCATCAAATTAAAGCCCAACCTCACGGCTGCTGCTCTCTCTCTCCCCCCCCCACCATTGCACTGACCAGCTCTCTGTGCAATCTCTCTGTGGGGGGGTTGATGGAGGGAGGGGAGGGTGGTGGTGGGGTGGGGGCTATGTTGAGTGTGTGTGTGTTGAGTGTGTGTGGAGAACTGGTGGGTAAGAAAGAATCATGTACAAAATTGTCAAATAAAAACTTTTGCCAATCGTTATGTTTGGGGGTGGTGGTGGGGGGGGGGGGAATGGAAATAGAAAGAGTGTGTGTGTGTGTGTCCCACACACTTCTCCCCCCCCCCCCCCCCACAACGTGCAAAAATAAAGACCTCAACAGTGTTTTTATTCGACCAGATCCAATTGCAACTCAAAGCCCTTCAGCTAAGGAGGGCGAACCCCAAAGCCACCAACCCCTTCAAAAAAAAATCAGATGGGTCTGGAAATAAAAGCTGAAGAAGTCGAATTTGCATCACCCCCCCCACCCCCCCACCCAAAAAAAAACAACCACCAACAACCGAGGGAATCGCATGGCTTTTCTTTTTTTTAACACTGCGTCACTGGGGTGGAGTCTTGCAAGTCCAGTGTGTGGGGTGTGTGTGAGAGGGTGGATTGCAGTTATATTATATTTCACACAATAAATGCATATTACAGACAGGAGTGAGGGATGCCGAGGAGGGGGGGGGGGGTGAGCTGGAGGCAGGTGGGTGGTGTGTGTGTGTGTGTGGAGCTAATGCTGAAGGACTGGTGGGGGGGGAGAGGGGGCTATTGGATGGGGTAGTGGTGGAGAGGGTTCGTAATCCTAAGCCCAGGCTCTGCCTCTCTCTCTCTCTCTCTCTCAGATGCACTGTGTATGTGAAGCTTTCCCCCCCTCACTCCCTCCCTCCCTCCACCCCCACCTCCTTTTTTTTTCGCGACTTGTATCGGAAACGTCTCCTCTGCAGTTTGCCTGAGTGACAGCTTCCCCCCCACCCCCCCCCCCCCCAGCTCTGCTCCCCCTCCACCCACCCACCCAGTACATGAGTGACATCTTCCCCCTCCTCCCTCCCTCCCTCCCCACCACCCCACACAGCGGCTTGTCAAGAGGGAGGAGAGAGAGAGAGGGAGGGAGAAAGAAAGAGAAAGAGAGAGAGAGAGGTGGAAAGAAACCGATGCAACTGTAGTGATTGACAGCCCATAGGGGAGGGGAGGGGAGAGATATAAACCCGATGCCCTGTAGTGATTGCCAACTCCCAAGCAAAGCCTTTGGGTATGTGTGTGTGTGCGTTTGTTTGTGTGTATATATATATGTGTGTGTGTAGGGGGTGGGGATTTGTGCAATGCAATGACTCTCCTCCCCAAAGCCATGGGAGGGGATTGACAGCTCCCACACACCACCCAGGCCAAGGAATTACCATTTGTAGCCCCGAAGTCCACCAACACACTGCACAACACACACACACACACACTGCACCACACACACACACACTGCACAACACGCACACACACACACTGCACAACACACACACACACACTGCACAACACACACACACACACTGCACAACACGCACACACACACTGCACAACACGCACACACACTGCACAACACACACACACACACACTGCACAACAACACACACCACACTGCACAACACCACACACACACACACACACACACACTGCACAACACACACACACACACACACACATTGCACAACACACACACACACACACTGCACAACACACACACACACTGCACAACACACACACACACACTGCACAACACACACACACACACTGCACAACACACACACACACACACTGCACAACACACACACACTGCACAACACACACACACACACACACTGCACAACACACACACACACTGCACAACACACACACATTGCACAACACACACACACACACTGCACAACACGCACAAAAAGTATAGCCCAATCTCATTGCACAGTGTTGGGACAGTAGCAATTCAGATCGGTGACTGCGAAACTGTGGGAGGAAATGTCTTTAAAGGTGGGGGGGGGGGGGGGGGGTGGGGATGGCGCTGAGAGCTCCCACTGATCCGGGGGCAGGTTTGGCAGGAATTAAAACTGATAGCCCAAAGTCCACCCAAAAAAGTAGACCGAGACCATTGCACAGGATTATTGGGCGAGTAGCAGCAGAGCGGCCGATTTGAGTCTCAGCGCTGTTGAAACCCGTGAGAGAAGGGGACTTCAAATGGGGGAGGGAAACGGGTTTGGTTTTTTTTTAAAAAAAACAGAAAAAAAATCCCCCAAATCAGGCACTTACCCCAAAAGCAAGTTTTTTTTTAAAAAAAGAAACACACACACACACACACACACACACGTACGAATGCCGTGCAACAGAAAACAAGCCCAGTTGGGCGTGAAACCCGCCCAAATCTGGCAAGGTTGAGCCTGGGCGAGGAGCCAGACAGACACACACAGACAGACAGACACACACACACACACAGACACACACAGACAGACACACACACACAGATAAACACACACACAGACACACACAGACAGACAGACACACACACACACAGACACACACACACAGACAGACAGACACACACACAGACAGACACACACAGATAAACACACACACAGAGATAAACACACACACAGACACACACAGACAGACAGACACACACACACAGACAGACACACACAGACAGACACACACACAGACAGACACACACACAGACAGACACACAGACAGACAGACACACACACACAGACAGACACACACACACAGATAAACACACACACAGACACACACAGACACACACACACACAGACAGACACACACACAGACAGACACACACACAGACAGACACACACAGACAGACACACACAGACAGACAGACACACACAGACAGACACACACAGACAGACACACACAGACAGACACACACACACAGATAAACACACACACAGACACACACAGACAGACACACACACAGACAGACACACACACAGACAGACACACACAGACAGACACACACAGACAGACAGACACACACAGACAGACACACACACAGATAAACACACACACACAGATAAACACACACACAGACACACACAGACACACACACACACAGACAGACACACACACAGACAGACACACACACAGACAGACACACACAGACAGACACACACAGACAGACACACACAGACAGACAGACACACACAGACAGACAGACACACACAGACAGACACACACACACAGATAAACACACACACAGACACACACAGACAGACACACACACAGACAGACACGCACACAGACAGACACACACAGACAGACACACACACACAGATAAACACACACAGACACACACAGACAGACACACACACAGACAGACACACACACACAGATAAACACACACAGACACACACAGACAGACACACACACAGACACACACACACAGACAGACAGACAGACACACACACACACACAGACAGACACACACAGACAGACACACACAGACAGACACACAGATAAACACACACACAGACACACACAGACAGACACACACACAGACAGACACACACAGACACACACACAGACAGACACACACACAGACAGACACACACACAGACAGACACACACAGACAGACACACACCCACAGACACACACAGACACACACACACAGACACACACACAGACACACAGACAGACACACACACACAGACACACACACAGACACACAGACAGACAGACACACACAGACAGACACACAGACAGACAGACACACACACACAGATAGACAGACAGACAGATAGACAGACACACAGACAGACAGACACACAGACAGACAGGCGGGGTTTCCACCCCAGGCTACCAGTCAGCACTCAGAGCCTCTGCACCCCAACCAATCATTCGCCCCTCTCTCTCTCTCCTCCCTCTTCACAGCCAGTTTTTTTTTGGGGGGGGACGGAGAGAGAGATACAGAGAGAGAGCAGATACTGTATATATGTACATTTTTTTAAAAAATCTGTAATATCCTCCCCAAAAAAGCTCTTGGGGGGAGGGGGGGAGGAGGGAGGGAGGGAGGGGGAGGGTAGAAACCATCCCTCCCACACATAAAAAGGTGGACAGAAATCATGGCAATTGAGTTCCTTGTGAGATGATGTGCTGGTGTTTGAGGTATTTTGTGTGTGTGTGTGTGTGTGTGTGTGAAGCTTCTCCAGGCGCTGAGCTGACATGTGTATCCACAGGTACATGTAACACCAGCAGCCGCTGGGAGACACTCACTCACTCACTCACCACACACACCACACACTGAGTCGCGGGGTTAACTCCAGAGGCAACGCTGACAGTTTCACTTGTAATTTCAATTGCTTTCGGCTTCTATTTTTGCCAGGAACTCTTTTTATATATATATATATAATATATATTTAAAATATAATTTACAAAAGCAAAGACAGGCGGACAGACAGACACACAGAGAGAGAGAGGGAGAGAGAGAGAAAGAGAGGCTGAAGTTGTTGTGTTGAAGGAAGTTTTCTTTTTTTTTTGACCTGTCCTCTGGTTTGGTTTGAGCAGTCGAGCAACAGAGAAAGAGTCGGATCAACAGGTAAGTAAGTAGTAAGTAAGTGTTGGAGATAAGATACATTGGCAGAAAGTACAGGTGAAGTAAGTAGCAGCGCTGCGAGAGGAACAGTGTGTCACATCCAGAGAGAGACAGACCCACAGGTCACTTTGTTGCTGTGGGAGCCCAGACCTTGGCTGATGCTGATAATAATAATAATAATAATAATAATAATCCTTGCATTTGATATAGCGCTTTTCACGTCGGGAGGACGTCCCAAAGCGCTTCACAGAAGACACTGTAAAGTGAATTGACTGCATATTTGTGGGCGAACGCGGCAGCCAATTGCGCACAGCAATGTCCCACAAACAGTCGTAGATTGAAAATGACCAATTTATTATTGTTTTTGGTTTTGGAGGGATTATTATGATCAGTCTTGCGTTGTTTTTTAACGTGTTAACGTTGTGTTGCGAACAGCGCTGCAGGATCCGGGGTTCCTGCACCCCCACCAGCCCCAGACACTGACCCGACCCATCGACTGGGGAGGGTGGGGGGGGGTCGAGGAGAGAATATCCAGGGGGAGGGTTGTAGTCGGCGCAAGTTTGAGTGCTGAATGCACCTGAGTATTTGCGGTAATCCCTGGGCGAGTGTCATGTGCAACTCGCTCTCAAAACGCTTCACAAGAGTTTTCTGTAAAATGTAGTGACTGTGTATTTGGCAGCCGATTTGCCAACAGGGATCTGCCCAGAGTCAGTGATTTTTTTTATTGTACCTTGGGGACTGTTGGCCAGCCCATCGTGGGAAACTTGAGATATTTGATAAACTTTTGAGCGAAGAGAGGGAAGGAAGGAAGAAAAGTTACTTGCTTTTTTATCATCAGGATTCTGATTCTAATTTTTGGTTTGGGGTTTATACAACTATTGCAGTTTCACCCACAATTTGCTTTCAACCACCAATGTGCATTGCTATTTTTGCTGTGTGTTTTATGTTGTGCATATATATATATATACTGTATCTTTCTTTGCGCAAACGTTCTCCGCATTTTTTCTAAATACGTTTTTGCCGATTAGTTTCCAAACCCAGTGCAATGTTTTGCTGCTTTAAATGTGTAACTTATCGGCAACTGACTGCAATGCTAATAATTATAATATAGTAGATGTTTGCTCTAAATTTTTACCACTGCACATAACATGCTCATGAAAGATATAAATGACAACCTTTCTATAATATTCCTTCACTAAGATCATCTTGCTCCCCCCTACCTCTCCGACCTCCTAACCCTCTACCACCCTGTTCGCTCCCTCTGCTCAGCGGGCTCCGGCCTGCTTCACGTCCCCCACCTTGCTCGTACCACAATTGGCGGGCGGGCCTTCCACAATTCTGCACCAACCCTCTCGCAGTCCCTCCATCTCACCCCCTCCCTCGTCACTTTCAAGACCCACCTCAAGACTCTCCTCTTCGACCATTCTTTCGATCTCCTGCTTCCCCCCCTCCACCCTCCCCCACCCCGATCCTCAACTCGGGTCCGAAACTCTGTCTGTCCAGCGCCTTTGTGGAGTCCTGTAGCTCAGTGGTTAGAGCACTTGCTTTGCAAGCGAGAGACCTGAGTTCAATTCCAGGCAGAGGGCGAAACCTCGGGCAAGTTTCCTTACTCCACACAGAGCCTAATAATAATCCCTTTAAAAAAACAAAACAAAAAAAATTGGTCATTTTCAATCTACGACTGTTTGTGGGACATTGCTGTGCGCAATTGGCTGCCGCGTTCGCCCACAAATATACAGTCAATTCACTTTACAGTGTGTTCTGTGAAGCGCTTTGGGACATCCTCCCGACGTGAAAAGCGCTATATCAAATGCAAGGATTATTATTATTATTATTATTATTTGGGATGTCCTCCCAACGTGAAAGGCGCTATACAAATGCAATTTTGTTGTTGTTGTTGTTAAGTGGGATATGCATTCTACAGGTCCCACAGCAATGTTATACAGAGAGACTAGTGTATTGCTGTAGAGAATGCGAACTTCACTCTGAAATGTTCTGACTTGAGTATGTATTTAATTTGGAAAATCTTAAACAAATATGTTTGCTCTAGGGTAATGTAAATTGAAAGTTTTCTTTCTTTGAACTATTTATTATGTTTAAAGTGACACAAATATTTTATTTGCTGGTATTGAAAGAATGTGTGCTTTCTTAAAAAAAATTATAAAAATACATTTTTCTTCTAGGTGTGTTAACGTGCCAGAAATTGAAACGATATTTCAGTGACACAAAAGGAATTAATGCGGAAGAACTGTGGAACCTAAACAATTGTAAATTAAGCAATATGGGAGATGAGATTGGAGACTACAGTGGACTGACTGTTCTCAATATTAGCTACATACCCCCAGTGACAAAACTTCATGCTGGTGAAGAGAGTCAGCGATTCTTTACCCATCTTCAGCATCATCATTCTCATCAGCAGTGTCGACACCAACACGTTTGTCTCATTTCAGATCCCAAATGTAATGGTGGATCTGCTAAAGAGCTGTCAAAAACCGTGGCCGAGTCTATGGGTTTGTACATGAATTCAGTAAAGGAAATGGGGAACGAGTTTAACTACGGTCTGCATTCTGAACAAATGGACGGAAGGCCTGGCAACAATAGTGAAAGTGATGGACAAGAAATCAGTCTTCAGAGTGAGGAAAAGATGAATTCCATCTTATTAAAGCAAGGGAAGAGGCGCTGTTCTTCTTCCTCTAGCCCTGGAAGAAGTAGTCTTGGTTCTTGCATGTCCAGTCCTACAAGCTTTAATAATCTAGGATCAGCTATGTCAAGCCCTAACAATATGGGCTCTTGCGTCTCTAGCCCTTCTAAAATAAATTGCTTAGCTCTCTCTAGTCCTGACACTGTAAGCAATCTGGGCTCTTCCATCGCTAGTCCTGATAATATCAATAACCTGAGCACCTCTGTCGCTAGCCCTAGTGCTGTGCGTTGTTCTATTTCTAGTCCATCTAAAATAAATAACCTAACGATGACTAGCCCCAGTAATATGAACAGCTTGGGCTCCTCTATCTCTAATCCTGCCAATGTGAATAACCTAAGATCTTCTGTCTCTAGTCCTAACAACCTGAGCTCTCCCACTTCTATTCCTACTAATTTGGCTTCTCCTAGCTCTGCCCCAGTGGATAATAACATGTTAGGCTCTTCTTTATACAGCCCATCTAACAATAACAGAGTGGGCTCTTCTGCCTATAGACCTGTTCTAAATAACTTGCATTTTCCCCCTTTGAACCCCTCAAATGGGTTACGATTGGTCCTGGATTCCCCCCAGAACACAGGTGCAAGAAGCCAAAGTAACAGAGAAATGAATGTGTTTAAGGAGGAGAAACCAAAAGTTGAAGGTTTGGAAACAGGAATGTTGAACAATATGAATCCTGTTCAGTTTATAAAAACTGAAGTGGACAGTGATTTTAGTGAGTCGTGTTTCCTCAGTCGAGGTAGCTCAGAATTAACTGATTCTACCTTCTCACTGCCAATAAAGTGTGAAATGAACGAAGATGCTTGCCTGAACATGATGTACGATAGTCAAGTTTCAGAAAATCCCTTTTCAGAAATTGCACATCTCACAAATGACGGCAAAATGAGTTATGGAGACACATTCGATATATGTGGGATTTTAGGGGCAGCTGCATCCTCATCAACTTCTAGTTATGAGCATGATGTTTTTTTGCAACCCATCTTGACCCCAGTGATCAAACAGGAGCCAAATGACGAAAGTTACTGTCAAGGCAGCTGTTCGTCTCCATCCACTGTTGTAGGTGTTAACTCGACTGGACAATCGTTTCACTACAGAATTGGAGCCGGTGGCACGATCTCCTTGCCCCGACCTTATATGAAAGATCAGAGACAACAATTTGTGAATCTAATTCCACCTGTGTGTACTCTGCTTGGATCTTGGAAATCACGCCCTATCATGACACAGATCTCCACACCTCCAGGGAGGAGTGATGGCTACCCGGTGCAAGGATATATTCCTGAGAACATGTCACGGTGAGTTCAATAAAAATCTCTTAATTCTGAATTAATTGTGAAACTTGAAACAAAGTCAGGTTGCCACTGAACGTGGGCAGGAGCAATATAACCATGACATTCTCATTTAAATCATTTTTTTTAAAAAGTAAGATGGTTTAACATATGCAGAAACGTCTTGATTTTTCAATGTTATTAATGTTCTTTAGTGTTGGAAAACATGATGCTTTCTTTCAGAATTGCACAAGAAATGTTTAGCCAGGTACAGGAAAGGCCTGTAGTTCTACAGTAGGATAGAAAGATGAATTTCAAGTTCTTTTTTTTGGAGAAATGGGGGATGAAGTGAAAATATCCTGGAATTGATGTTCTACCAATTCTGAGACAAATTTTCAAAGAGAGTTTTAGCTTATCTGGGATTGAACAAATATAACCTTTCTCCAACTTTGCATGAATGCGCGGTCCAAATGGTTTAAATTATCTCCTTTTTTGTCTTCTGAACCTTACGCAGTTATTCATGCTGCTATAATATCTTACCCTCACTTGCTCACTAAATGCATGTAAGGATTATTATTATTATTATCTCCATTTGCTAGTTTACAAGGAATGGGAGTTCTGTAGCTCAGTGGTTAGAGCAATCGCCTCCCAAGCGAGAGACCTGGGTTCAGTTCCCGCCAGGGCGAAACCCTTTCCTTACTCCACACACCTGATAATAATCCTTCAAGAAAAAAAAGACAATAATAAATTGGTCAATCAATCCACGACTGTTTGTGGGACACTGCTGTGCACAATTGTCTGCCGCATTTTGCCCACAAAATATAGTCAATTCGCTTTACAGTATAAATGAACGCGCTTTGAGACATCTAGCAGATGTGAAAAGCGTTATATCAAATGCAAGGATTATTATTATTATTATTTTGATGATGGGCCATTAAAGATTAGCATCTGGTGCATGCTATTACTGTACAGGCAGAATGCACCAATGTGAACCCAATCTACCATCAACAGAATCGCCTTCGATTGCTACTTGGATTCATTATGACAGTCAATCGTGTATAACTCTTCTTAATGGGTGTAGCATGGTGTACAACACAATTTCCGTATTCCACACTGTAACACAGTTGTTTGATATCCATCAGTTTTAAAATGGTACAATTCCAGTTCTTTTGACAATAAGGTAATTGTTTTTTTGGAACTTTTTTTTTTACAAGGAATGGGAGTCCTGTAGCTCAGTGGTTAGAGCAATCGCCTCCCAAGCGAGAGACCTGGGTTCAGTAAAGCGAGGGACGGTTCAGAAAAAAACGTCCCCCGACCCACCCGCCCCACCATTGGCGGGAAAGCCTTCAGCCACTCTGCCCCCAACCTCTGGAATTCAATCCCCCAGTCACTCCGCCTCGCCCCCTCCTTAGCCTCCTTCAAGTTCCGCCTCAAACCCCTCCTCTTCGACCATACCATCAGTCAACCCCCTTCCACTCCCTTCTCCCTCCCTGACCCCAGCTCAGGTCTGAAATGTTGTACACTGTCCAGCGCCTTGGGACCTCCTCTCGACATGAAAGGCGCTATACAAATGTAATCTCGTTGTTATTTTTGTTGCAAAGTCCCATATTTGTAACATTAGGCAAAATTCTCAATCATCATCCAATAGGAATATGGAATATTAGGTTAAAGAGGCCGCATCATGTATGGGGGAACCTTGTTGTAGCATGCTTTCTGAGACCAACGTTGCATGCAAACTGATATAAAATGGCTGACCTCTGCGTCATCAGTTCAGCTTTGACATTACTCGCTGCAGTCGGAACTGCTACCCACATCACTCCCTGTGCGCTATGTGTAAGACGTGCCACTGACATCACTTCCTTTGTGAAGTGACGCGGGCAACAACAATAGTTTATCTAAGCACCTTTCACATCAGGAGAGCATCTCAAAGTGCTTCACACAGGAGCCTGAACTGAGAGGGATCTGATTATGTGATGATCTGGTAGGGGGCCAGAATCTCGCACCTCTGCTTAGCATGTGTTCACAGGACAGCATTCAACTATATAAAGGTGGTGAGGGAAGAAGGGAATCTGCTGAATACATTACATAATGCCTTGTGCCTTCTTTTTGCTTGTGTTGAAGTGGCTCAACCATGCAAAAAGCCCTTGGGTAATTCTATTTGGTGATGCAAAACAAGCTGAGCACATACTGCCAATTTCAGGTTGGACAGTACTTCTGATTTTGGGTCCTGTTGGTTTGTTCTCAAAGTTTTGGTGTCAAATTTCATTAAAACCAGAGTATAATCTCATAACTCTCTTCACTTGGGATAATACATGACTGTCATGCAGATGTAAACCAGAAGAATTATTGTGGTAATGCTGCAAATTAATTTCCTTTATTCCTATAATAGTTTCTCATTTTTATGTTTAAAATAGGATAAACCAGCAAATTGAAATCCTTGTGTTCAAGGAAAGCAAATCCTAGGAGTTCAGATAGGATTCTAGATGTCGTGACCTTAGATTAATCTATTATAATCACAGTGTTTCAGGATTACTGTAGCGGTTTGAAAGAAATAGATGATGCAATTATCGTGGATTTGACAGTTTAGCATATTTGTCATTCTGTCATAACATCTATAATTGCCAAGTGCAACGTGTTGCATTAATATGATGCACATTTACCTCCATTATGTTCCCATAGTTTGATTTCTGATCTGTTGAAGATACAAAAATAACGCATTTGGCAAGATGTTATCAGGAGGTTATGCTACTGTATTAAGTACAGTATTACTAAATCAAGCTGATGTATTAGCTGCAGGCTCTTTACGTTGGATATCTATATTCAATAATTGAGATTTCACCCAAAATACTAAATGCTGAGTTCTGTAGAGTTTAGAGCAAATGCCTGCATTTGTTGCTTGTGTTAGTTGCAGCCTTGGCTGAGAGAGTCAGGCTTATTACATGCACTGTTTCACATCCGCACACGACATTACATGTTTTTTTATTACAAATCACATTACAAGGGGATTGCATTTGGATTCTGGATCCCCGATGATTTGGTGTTCAGATTCCAGGACAATGGATATCAGGGACTTTTTGAGAATAAAATCCTTTGATTTGTAGAATTTCACTTCTTAAAATGTCAGCATTCTGTCTGTCATCATTGTAGTACTTTGGTTGAACTTCTGACAAATGTTAAAACTTTTGGCTGCTAGATGCTCTGAGAGAGGCTATTTAAAGCCACAATGTTTCTTAAATTAATGTCTTTTTTAAAATTCAAAATAAAATTACATGCCTTAAGAAGCACTGAATTTTTAATGCAACTGGCTTGAAAGCCTTTTTTTTAGTTTTAGATTGTAATTTCTATAGATGCAGTGCTTTGGAATTCTACCAGTATTGATTCTGCGACACAGTTTGCTTGCTCTGATGTTTGGGAATTACCTCTCAGAATTAGTGTCTGGCAGTGTATAAAAGAGCCTCACTCTGCTTTGATCTGGAGCTCGACCATTCGGATTCAAAGCTCTCCAAATGGATTGCTTTAGAAACACAAAGGAGATCAACATTCCTCTGCTCTCGAAGAGTTATTGGAAATAAATAATAATAAATAAAAGTAAATACTCCTTGCATTTGATATAGTGTCTTTTACTTTGGGTGGACATCTTAGAGCACTTCACAGGATTTACTGTAAAGTGTAGTGAATGTATTCTCTTTGCAAATGTATGCGGACAGGTAGAATGTGGTAGAAACCGGCAGCAGGTTACTGTCCGTTTACCGAGGACTCCTACACCTCAAAAAATAAGAGTTAGAAATGCTTGCGGAAAGGTGGAAAAGAGACTGATTGAAGTTGTTGAGATACTTTATAAAGATCAAGTGCAACTCCTGAGGCACGCAGAAAGTTGAGTGTTTTGCGTGCTCTGGGACGCCACCTTGTCTGAGGGGCACTATATAGATGCAAGTTGTTGTTGTTGTTTACGATTAGGAACCTGGAAACAGCGGTACCCATCATCTCCTGCAGTGCGTGTATCTGCGGTGTTGCCTGCTCCGAGTGGAGGTGGTGGTGGCTGGTGCTCAGGTGTTTGGCTCTGCTCGGGTGCAGTTGATACTTGTTTCTCCTTGATCTGTGAAGAGAGCAGATGGTATGTTATGATTAGATAAACACGCTTCACCCATTCAGTCATGACATGTCCTACAGTATTAGGCACAATCAATCTTGATGTGACATATTGTGCAAATCATAGAATTTGTGCACGATAAATTATTAATCATGACTTCTGAGTGGTATTTGAGTTTCTTCAGCCTCAACCTTTTCTGAATTTCAGCGCTCAAACCCTTTTCAGCGCGCCAAGAAGTTATCCTACTTGAAGGGTGCTTTATAAATGCAATTTGTTGCTAATGACTCATTGCTATTTTTTCATATGGTTTTCAGATCTGGGTTTAAACTCCATGCTGCATGCTTTGCCTTCCCGTTTTGTCAGAGCTTTGCCTTTAAATATAAGAGAAGGGGAGAGGAGCGGTTGGAGAGATAAGATAATTTGACTGAAGGAAATTGCTTCCTGCAGTAGATTTGCTATCCCATTATGGCATGTGCAAGTGTCACTTATATGACTCTGTTAATCTTCACTTTAACTTCTCACAGACCTTAGCGTCTGGGCCTCTTTCTCTTAAGTGAAAGAGGTAACCTTGAGCCAGTCAATTGATGTGTTCTATTGCAATGTTTGAGACATTTGCATGTTTGAGTGTGGCCCTGTATGTTCTCTCATCTCTTCATAACCTTGTTCACCAGCCCTCGCAGAACCGTCCCAATGAAGCAAGCTGTGCTTTGCTGCTGTTGGGCTATTGCATATTGTCATTTTGCACTCCACGGCTTGATCCTCTGGCATTTTATTATTGGGAGTCAAGTGCTTCTAAGCCCTGAAAAGCTGTGGTGTGTGAATAGCTCAGAAGCAGCAAACCAAAGCACTGCCTTCATTGGGGCAGTTCTGCAAATGCTGGTGAGCACAGTTGTAAAAGAACATGCTTGGTGAAGAGAACCATTTCACCGTAAAATTT